AAGAGTTTGGAAATACGCTCAGTTGTGGGGAAAAAACTTTATGAGATGAGCGTTAAAGTGTTGAACAAAGATAAGCTCAAGAGTAAAACAGATATCCCTTGGAAATCACACTTTGGGGTTGATGAGAATTGTAAACCTGAATGGAGAATATTGTATAAACCACCATTGACCAAAATTACTGGAGACTTGCAATGTAAATTATTACATGGAATTGTTGCTGTGAATGCATTTATAAGTATTATTAACCGGTCTGTTGAAAGTAAGTGCCCTTTCTGTGAAACTAGAGAAACAATATTCCATTGTTTTTTGTATGGTAATAGATTTAATCTTATTTTTTTAAGGTTTCAAGAATGTTTGTAGGCTTCAATGTTGGTTTTATTTATGGTGTTAAATATTGGAAAGAAAGTAGAAAAAAGGGGCGTTTATTAAATTTTATTGTTAGCCAAGCAAAGACCGCAATTGTTCTAACTAGAAGGAAAAAAGTAGAAGGGAAGGAAGGAAATGTTGTTGATGGTACTTTCAGAAGTCTTATTAAAGCAAGAATAAGACATGAATTTATGTTTTATAAATTAATGAATAATATTGAGGGTTTTAAAGATGTATGGAATTATGAAGATGTTTTGTGCATTGTTATAGACAATGATTTATTTTTCTCAAGCTGTATTGAATAATATATTTGGTGTTTTGTGTGGATTTTAATTAAGATGGATTGTATGATTTGTTGTTAAAATTTTGTTAAATAAAGTGTTATATATATATAGTAATTTCACTTTAATGGCCGATATCACTGAAAACAGACACTATTTTTGGAATCAGCACCTCAAAATTAGTAAGAAACAACTTGTGAATTTCGTTCAGCAAACGTGATGCAGGGTGGTGAATTAGAAAACACCATTAATAACAGTGATTTAAACTATGTACAAGCATGCAACCACTACCAGTGACTATCACTGACAACATTAGAAAGAGTGAGCGAGACAGAAAAAGTGCCAGAGAGAGATCAAGTGACTCTATAAACTGTCATCTGTTGAGGTCATGGAGGTCAAGAGGTCAGTGGGTCAGTAGATCAATCCTGAGCTTACAAGAAGTTTAACTTCTAAAAACAGCAAAGCTCAAATCAACCCTCAGGATTAGCGTCTGATGACACAATATACATCAAAATCATTGTTTATATTCGTTTTGCTTTATATTTGACACTGAATTCAGGGTGTGTGGTAAAAGAGGACAAACAAACACCTGCTATTGATTGACACTCAAGACCAGAAAAGCTCAACGGAGGAATCCGCAGCAGTTTGGAGCCATAATTAACAACATTATTACAGAGAGAGCGGGGCTGGCTGACTTTACCGTGACTTCAGACCGCAGTGTGTGTGTGTGTGCGTGTGTGTGTGTGTGTGTTCGGCCCAGTTGGCTCGTCCATCTGTTGTTGATTTGACCAGACTGAATCGTCTAGTGCGGTAAACCCTGACGGGACGAGCTCAAGACGAGTTCCTCGTGCCCAGACGTGCCCTCTGCTGCGACGCTCCAGATCAGCGGGACTAATCCAGCTTCAGCATCGCCAGACACTCGCCAACAACTACCAGCTAAAACACTCCTAACCAGGCACGACACAAAGCTGCTTCAGACGTCAAGTAACTTGACAATGGTGTATGTGTGTAAAGAATCTACAAAATATTAATTGCATTTAATATCTTGTCGCTTTATGATGTTATGCCAGGTTAGAACTATAGTGTAAGAGCCTGTTGCCTCTTTGGTAACTAAACTCCTATTTCAAAAGACCCCCAAAATGATGCAACAAATCTGAGGTGCTTTCTGAAGGCAATTTATTTGAAAACAAGCAGCTAAGAGTGTGTATAAGAGTAGTGGTCAACCGATATGTTTTTTGATGGCCGATATAAAGTCGATATATATATATCACATCACACTATTTAATTTAAAGATTAGCAGTTGTGCAACTAAATGTCTTTTACATATTTACTCAAATAAAAATAAATTTTACATTTTTAAATTTTAAAATGAATCAAATTGGAGACAAAAATAATTTGAACTTGATAAAATAAATTTAAAAAAATTTAAAAAAATAGCATATATATTTTTAATTTCTTTTATTCTAACTTATAACTTCTTGAACACGTGTTGTCCAAACAGAAAAAATTATTTGGGCAAATAAAAATGCCAAATATCGGCCGATATATCGGTCAACTACTTATTTTTAATGTACGAGCGGACACTGGCATCTGTATCTTGAATGTGTGATGCTTCCAATTAGCAGTTGTGCAACTAAATGTCTTTTACATATTTACTAAAATAAAAATAAATTTTACATTTTTACATTTTAAAATGAATCAAATTGGAGACAAAAATAATTTGAACTTGATAAAATAAATTTAAAAAAATTTAAAAAATAGCATATATATTTTTAATTTCTTTTATTCTAACTTATAACTTCTTGAACACGTGTTGTCCAAACAGAAAAAATTATTTGGGCAAATAAAAATGCCAAATATCGGCCGATATATCGGTCAACTACTTATTTTTAATGTACGAGCGGACACTGGCATCTGTATCTTGAATGTGTGATGCTTCCAGTTATTTTAGCTGTACAAAAATAATATTATAACAAATACCAGTTTGCAATATCAAGCAGCCTGTTATGCTGCTCGATATTGCAAATTGGTATTTGTTATAACATTATTTTAATTTATTACCGTAATCATAAGCACTCTTGTTTGTATTGCAAATAGTTTTACGGTTTACTGCACTTTGTTATTTTTCAAGGTATTCAGCAGTGAATGAATCTGAAGTCTCGCACATTCACAGTAAATAACTTACTTCTGCATTGAAAGTTATGATGCATAAGGGAACATGAAAGCATGCAAATTACACATCAACTATAGTGGCTGATGCCCAAGATCTGAAAACCACTTTCAACTCAACCAATTAAAGCAAACTGTGATTCTGAACCGATTTAGGTTCACACTACAAGACTAAATATGAAAAGAGTCCTAATACTACAAACCGATGAACCTGAAAACATAAAAAGTGAAAGATTATTCGTGTAACTAAAGACACACAGTAGAGGACGATGCTGTGTGAGAAGAGCACTTCTGTGATTGACTGTCATACATAACATTAAGCTGCTGGATATTTCATTCACATCTTCAGTCCGTCTCTCAGGGATGGACAGAGTCTGTCCTCCATTTCACATCTCAGTGAATCCATCATGTGATGCTCCAGTGAGTGTGAACACACACACACACACACACACCTGATGCATGCTGCACATTTCACACCTCAAAACCGCAAAAATGAGCCACGATGCCAAACTACTCCTTGAATACTTGAGCCAAAGCACACAGTCCAAATTCAGAAATGTCTCAAGCTCCAGCTGTATTTAAAAAAGACTTACAAGTAACAATAACGTAAGCATAAGTGATTCATTTAATGGTGAATGCTATATTATCGCATGCAATGTCTCAATCATCTTCAAATGTCTGCTGTAGACATCTACACCATTTAATATGTACTTACAGTCCCAAGCACAACAACTGAACCTAATCAGCATTCATCACTGGATAAGGACATGCTTTAGTTTTAAAGGCAACATTAAAACAGCATTTGCCATTGTTAACTTTAACCAACAGTTCAAGCCTAATTGATATCGGATGAAAAGCGATTTCAGAAGCAGGGCAATCTGATAAATATTTCGGAATATAAGCAGGAACATACATTAAGAAACTAAACAGGAGCAGTTTTGATTTCATGTTCTCTTTAACAGTTTTGTCAGTTTAACTAGTTGGTTGATGGTTTCTATTAAATCTGAAGTAGTGGAGCAAACTCATTCGTATGAAAAACGAAAAAGTAACTTCGTGGAATAATATGCATCAATAAATCAGTCATACATGAAGAAACTAAACTTGATTTAATGTTTCCTTTAACATTTGTCAGCAACTTTAAACAAATGTACAACACAAAACACCAAGGTTGCATCATAAACCTCTACAAAATACCATTTTCTTGCATTCTGCAATGTAAGTCAACCAAACAAAGAGGTTCTCTAAAATAAAAAACATGCTGAAAGCACCTCATTCTGAGCTCATCATACACGCACACACACACACACACACACACCTGATGCATGCTGCACATTTCACACCTCAAAACCGCAAAAATGAGCCACGATGCCAAACTACTCCTTGAATACTTGAGCCAAAGCACACAGTCCAAATTCAGAAATGTCTCAAGCTCCAGCTGTATTTAAAAAAGACTTACAAGTAACAATAACGTAAGCATAAGTGATTCATTTAATGGTGAATGCTATATTATCGCATGCAATGTCTCAATCATCTTCAAATGTCTGCTGTAGACATCTACACCATTTAATATGTACTTACAGTCCCAAGCACAACAACTGAACCTAATCAGCATTCATCACTGGATAAGGACATGCTTTAGTTTTAAAGGCAACATTAAAACAGCATTTGCCATTGTTAACTTTAACCAACAGTTCAAGCCTAATTGATATCGGATGAAAAGCGATTTCAGAAGCAGGGCAATCTGATAAATATTTCGGAATATAAGCAGGAACATACATTAAGAAACTAAACAGGAGCAGTTTTGATTTCATGTTCTCTTTAACAGTTTTGTCAGTTTAACTAGTTGGTTGATGGTTTCTATTAAATCTGAAGTAGTGGAGCAAACTCATTCGTATGAAAAACGAAAAAGTAACTTCGTGGAATAATATGCATCAATAAATCAGTCATACATGAAGAAACTAAACTTGATTTAATGTTTCCTTTAACATTTGTCAGCAACTTTAAACAAATGTACAACACAAAACACCAAGGTTGCATCATAAACCTCTACAAAATACCATTTTCTTGCGTTCTGCAATGTAAGTCAACCAAACAAAGAGGTTCTCTAAAATAAAACCCCAGAAGATACCAATAATGCACACAGAGTATCAAAGACCATAAGATGTGAAACTCTGCGACTCTTACCTTCTTCATTCGGCCGTTGCGTGTTCCTGCGAAAACCACCGTGTTTCCGCGGTAATCGTAAGCAGCTACCGAAGTCATTCCGTCATCTTTGTCTATGAAGAGCGGAATGCCCTCGATAGTGCTGGTGCCCCCTAGAGGCTGGTTAAAATCCTGCCCACAGAAGTTATCGTCGATCTGGAGAGGCTGAAACAGACAAACGGAGGGAGGGTTAGAAAAAGGGACTCCACCTAAAGGTCAATGGCTGGGTAAGACAGACTGTTAGGGCGGGTTTTCCTGAAAACAATGTCAGTGGAAGTCACACACACACACACAGCGGTAAGGTTATTTATCACATGGATGACAAAATGGAAACACAAGGTCACTGTATTGCAGGAAACCCTGGAAAGGGGACGTGAGGACATGAAAGTTAGAGAGTGGGAAAAGGCTAACAGATATTTACAATAACTATAAAACCAATTTACTGTTCTTTTCATTTCCCAACAGACTGCCATTTTTAAGTATCTGTTATTTATGTGATATATACACTACCGTTTAAAAGTCTGGGGTGGGTAAGATTTTTTTAAATGTTTTTGAAAGAAGTCTCTTCTGCTTACCAAAGAATTTAGTTGATTAAAAATACAGTAAAATTGTGAAATATTATTACAATTTAAAATAACAGTTTTCTATGTGAATAAATGTTAAAATGTAATTAAAATCTGTGATCAAAGCTGAATTTTCAGCATCATTACTCCAGTCTTCAGTGTCACATGATCTTCAGAAATCATTCTAATATACCGATTTGCTGCTCAAGAAACATTTCTAATTATTATCAATGTTGAAAACAGTTGCGCTGCACAATATTTTTGTGGAAGCCGTGATACATTTTATTTTTCAGGATTCACAGATGAATAGAAAATTCAAAAGAACAGCATTTATTTGAAATAGAAATCTTTTGCAAGATTATAAATGTCTTTAATGTCACTTTTGATCAATTCAATGCATCCTTGATGAATACAAAATATTATTTTTTTATTTTTTTAAAGAAAAAGATATTATACCCAAACATTTAAACAGTGTACATATAGACTTTTTCCCCCATTATTTTTCACCATTTCATGTATTCACCATTTTTATGCATGCATTTTATTTTGGAAAATACCGCATTAGTAGAGTATTGTGTTTGGAATGAATGAATGAATTACTCGTCCCATAAAACAAATCAAGGAACTGAATAATTTAAGATGATTTTACACGACTACTTAATTAAACTGTAAAACTTTTTCACCTACTTAATTAAACTGTAAAACTTTTTCACCTATTTCAACTTAAAAACTTATGCTGCCTTAAATTGTAAGTATAATCAACTTGGTTGCATTAGTAATTTCAACTTAAATAATATTAAACTGACTTAGAAAATCCAGATGAATCTCATATAAAAAAGTTGAAATAGCTCAACTTGTTTGATTAAAGAAATGTAAATGCATAAGTTGTCATGGCTTACTGATATCACTTTCTTGGCTTCTACAGAAGCATTTCTTCTGTAACCTGACAGCTCATTCTAAATCATTATCGATATAAGGGCCTTTCGCACCGCTTTAGTTCCAGAACTAAATGTACAGTACTAAAGTACTGGGACGATTTTGCGCGAACTATTTCCCAGTACTATTTAAAGGGTTGCATTCGCACCGACAGTGTGTACTAAGAAGTGACGTAAGCCGGTCGTCATTTGTGCGCGGCGTTCAACAACAGAAACAAATAAAAACAACGTTAACAACAGAAGGATGGAGGACGCTGTGATCGGAGCTGTGTTGTTGTTGTTGTGTCTTGCGGGTTTCACAATAATGGACATGGAAAGTCGACGTATACGTAAAGCGATTGAAAGAACGGAAAGGAGGACTAAGGGTCAAAAACAGCTCTTTTCAGAGCAAGCCATTTTGTACCATTTTCCTTTAAATGTTAATGAGCTCTGCTGACCCCGCCCCTCTCTTCCAAGCTGCTCTCAGAGAGACTGTTTACTTTAGCCGCATTCATCGTGAGACTTGCTAATTAGCACATTATTAGGAAAGGCTCGTTAAAAAAACCTTACACTCACTTCTGTAGATGGCCTGTCTGTGTGACGTCACACAGACAGGCATCTGAGATCGGCTCGATTTGAGAAAGGGGGAAAAAAATGTTATCATTATAGGGTGGTTGTGTACACGCACTGCCAACACACATTTCAGTTCAAACAACTTGTAAAAGTGCATGTAGCATCTACATTTAAAGTTTTTAAAAAATGTGTAAAGGGCAAAATATTTTTGGCTAACTTGCCACACTTTACAGCTGTACCTTGGAAAAGAAAACTCCTGAAGTGAGATAAATCTGACAAAACCTTCCTCTGGTCACGATCTTAAAAGGTAAAAATGATTTAAAGTAAATGTTGTGAAATTTTCTTTTAGGGTTAGAGTTTAGGTTAGTCTTTGCTTTATATATAAACAACAGTCTGTGGTATGTGCTCATTCAGAAGGCTAAGTAAACGTGTGTGTGTGTGTGTGTGTGACATCAATAACCTTTCTTTCTCTGTGTCTTTCTCTCTTCACCTCCCCTTTTCTCTCTGTCTTAATCCATCCAGAAGAGTCTCTAGCTCACAGCAGGAAGAAAGGAAAGAGAAGAAAAGAAGGAGGAAGGAGTCAGACGGGCATCAATTCACTTAGCAAACTCGCTTTTCCTCCTCTGAGCTAAAAACCTGATGTCAAGCAGTCAGAAAAGGAAAGAGAAGAAAAGAAGGAGGAAGGAGTCAGACGGGCATCAATTCACTTAGCAAACTCGCTTTTCCTCCTCTGAGCTAAAAACCTGATGTCAAGCAGTCAGACACTCGCACACACACTGAAAGCTCGGCTGGGGGATTTATCGCTTTGAAAACATCAAAAGTAATTTAATTCAACATCTTTATGCCATCATGAGCTGAGCTTATTTAAATATCAGCCTTGTGTAGTCAGACTTTAAACTATTAGCATAAAGGAAATCCCTGTGAACCCCTGTACAGAAAACAGAGCAGAAATTTGTACTGGATAGTGTTTTTCACTAAGCATGATGCAATGCATTATAGAATTGCCTTCTTTGTAAAGATATATGTGACCCTGGAGCACAAAAGCAGTCTTAAGTCACTGGGGTATATTTGTAGCAATCTCCAGGGTCACATATAGTAGGGTACAATGTGGCTAAAGGCACACCTTAAGAAAAAAAAGTGCTTTTCACTGCACCTAAAATTTATAATTGCAGAAAAAATATATACTTTTGTGTTTTTTACCCCAAATACCATACTTTTACATATTCTTTTATTATTTAAAAACTGTTGCTTTAATTATCTTAAAACTGAAAAAACGTTAAGACCTTTGTCTCAAAATATATGCATTAATTTTAGCGATTCTCATTTGCTACTTAAATCTACAACATTTAAAAAAAAACATAAAATATTAGATCAAGTAAGCACAGAATCAACTTTGCGCTGCTGCGCGCGATCGCGTCAAAGATCAGCCACATTTGCACATGCATCTTGAAAAGCGAATGTTTTGGAAAGTGCCACGCCACGTTTTTTTGCCATCTAGTGGTTTAAAGGAAAATAATATCAAAGGCGCCTTTAGCCCCGTCGTACCCTACTATTCAAAAGTTTGGAGTCAATTTTTTATGTTTTTGAAAGAAGTCTCTTCTGCTCACTAAGCATGGATTTATTTGATTAAAAAAAATAGAGTAAAAACTGTAATATTGTGAAATATTATTACAATTTTAAATAAAAGTTTTCTATGTGAGTATATGTTAAACTGTAATTTATTTCTGTGATCAAAGCTGTATTTTCAGCATCATTACTGCAGTCTTCAGTGTCACATGATCTTCAGAAATCATTCTAATATGCTGATTTGCTGCTCAAGAAACATTTCTGATTATTATCAATGTTGAAAACAGTTGTATTACCCAATATATATTTTTGTGGAAACTGTGATCAATTTTATTTTTCAGGATTTTTTTAATGAATCGAAAGTTCAAAAGAGTAGCATTAGAAATCTTTTAGAACATTATAAATGTCTTTACTGTCACTTTTTATCAATTTAATGCATCCTTGGTGAATAAAAGTAATAATTTCTTTCCAAAAAAAAAAAAAACACACATATCTTACAAACACCAAACTTTTGAATAGTAGTGTATGTGATAATTTGGCCCAAAGCAGGCCTCTCAGAAGGCAGTATAAGGTCATGAGCGCTTATTATGCTCTGAGCTCTAGTCCCACTGCTATTTCACACTCGATTGACGGCTGATTTGATGCAGTATTCTCTCAATCCTCATGTGTCACACAGACAAGATGAGCATTACATTCACTCAAAAGTGTGTGTGCTAAAGTAATTACATTCTCTCACACACACGAACACACATTCACACTTTACTAGTGAGGTGAAAACTAATGCAGGACTAAACAGGTTGCAGAGGGACACCAATACACACACAACAACACAAAAATAGACATGCATGTGTGTGTGTGTGTGTGTGTGTGTGTGTGTGTGTGTGTGTGT